CAGGGGTCACCAACCTTTTGCAGCCTGGGAGCTACTTCACGGGTCCAGAGCAACACGAAGGGCTACTTTCCTTGGCTCACCCTTTATAACAATAATACATGCCGTCTAATCATATTAATGTTAGGGAGTATTCACAATAGTTATCAGTAATTATTACCATGGCAGCTATGATTAATTTCTATTATGTGATCAGAAGTTCTTAGTTCAGTTTTAAGTTTGATTCCCTTTCTTAGCTTTTCTGTGTGATTCTAAATTTCCCACAAGTGACTGACAGTCCGGATTATTGCAGCTGCTGGAAGCACTGTGAGATTTTCCTTTAAATAAAAAAAAAAAGTTATTGTATTTTTTTATCCAACCCTCTGGCTTCTGCTGGCTGACAGCAGATGTCGAGAAAAAAATGTCCGACAGATTGTAAGGCAGCACAAAACGATCCCTGCACCTGACCTGTAAGAGCGCATCATGTGCGCATCGCACAAAACCAGCGCAAACTTAAACCACTAAAGCAGCGAAGCCTTTTTTTTTAACACAAACGACGCTAAATACAAATAAAGACATGGAAGCGAAGCTGACCTGTGATCCACGGAAAGAGGAGGATGTTGATCCCCGGTTCTGGTGTCAGAGGAGGAGAAGGTGAAGCAACAATGTTTGTTCAGTTTTTACTCTTTTAGGAAACGTTTCAACTAGATTAAACTGTTTAACCCGCAGTCTTAGCGTGACCCTAAGCAGGAGCGGCAGATGTCAGCTAACGGGTGACCCGTTAACTCTCCAGTTCGGGAAACATCAAAGTAGCTCAGAACCGGCGACCCGTCAGAACCGAACACGGTAAAAAGCTCAACCGGCATCCGAACCGCTCCTAGAACTACGGGAGGTTCAAACTGCGCTCATTTAGTTTTAGCTTACAGAAAAAGCGCCAAACCGCCAAATAAACAAAAGCAAACGGACCAATAAGATTTCAGCGTTGGGTGCCCTTTGACCCCCACAGACTCAGATGTGCGCCACGTACAAGATGTTTTGACACTTAATATTTTTTTCTCCACAATTTTGTTAATTGCAAAGAGGGTTCGATAATTAAAATTTCAGAAATTCTTCTTTTTTTTGTTTTACTTCAAGTAAAAAAAAAAAAAAAACAGAGTTGCTCCCACTCTAAGGTCGGCAGAGAGGGAGCAGCAGGACTGCAGGCGCTGCTGCCCTCCGATAACATTTATGCATAAAAATTTACATTTAAATGTTTTTAATAATTAGCTTTTTTTTAAATTCTGAATATAAACAAATTTTACTACTTCAATGTAAATATATTAAATTAAATAATTTATTTGGCAATGCTCCCTAATGACAATGGCTATTTTTAGAACTTGCCCCGCGGGCAACTAACAAGGGGCCCGCGGGCACCGCGTTGGTGGCCCCTG